TTGTTGCTGTTGCTGTTGCTGTTGCTGTTGCTGTTGCTGTTGCTGTTGTTGTTGTTGTTGTTGTTGTTGTTGTTGTTGTTGTTGTTGTTGTTGTTGTTGTTGTTGTTGTTGTTGTTGTTGTTGTTGTTGTTGTTGTTGTTGTTGTTGTTGTTGTTGTTGTTGTTGTTGTTGTTGTTGTTGCTGTTGGTGTTGTTGTTGTTGTTGTTGTTGTTGTTGTTGTTGTTGTTGCTGTTGCTGTTGCTGTTGCTGTTGCTGTTGCTGTTGCTGTTGCTGTTGCTGTTGCTGTTGCTGTTGCTGTTGCTGTTGCTGTTGTTGTTGTTGTTGTTGTTGTTGCTGCTGCTGCTGCTGCTGTTGCTGCTGCTGCTGCTGCTGCTGCGGCTGCGGCTGCGCTGCTGCTGCTTCTGCTGCTGCTGCTGCTGCTGCTGCTGCTGCTGCTGCTACATTTGTTACTTCTGGCGGAATGACCGTATTCATAGTTTAGCCTCGTGCCACACATGTTTCGAGGCAATTTGGAGAAGCACATGTTTCTTGGTGGTTCCCACCCATCCCCTTAGGTTTTTAGCTTTTTCGTGTTTAGTGAGGATTTTCATTCACCCAATAAAAGTTTACTTTTAGCGGGGGATCTGAGGACCGCCCAGGATTTGTGGAAACAGCATGGCCAAAGCTGCAATTGAGGTTTGGTTCTACGCTTCTTTGTTTCTCCTCGCCCTCCTTGGCTGCGGGATCGGGGCGCGCTGCTACGTGCTTCGACGGCGCAGGAAGATGGTTGAGGCGGGGATCTCTTGTGAGGTTCGGAAGACTTTGAGTTGGATGCGAAAATTCTCATGACTTTGGGAAGCTAAGGAGCATCTTGTTCTATTTCTTATGGGGGTGGGGGGTGCTTGGATGTCGCCCGTAGTCCAGACTCTCGAGCCTACTGTGATTCCTTCCAGAGTGAATGTGGACTCCCTATTGCGATTGTCATTTTGAGACATTGGTCCATCCAACTAAAAACAACCTGGTACATGACGGATCCTTATTCCCACATGCAATATGACTTGCTTCTACTTACATGACTCACTTGACTTTCCCAAAAACGCTTTTGCTCCATTTTAGCGAGCGCATCAAACCGTTCATCAAAAGTCATGAAGGTCCGTCCCTCAAAAAACAATTTCCTCAGCTCAAGTTGGCAGATTTTCGTGCTGCTTTGAACGCCATTCATAGTGGTTACCCTCCCAAAATCCCCATGGAAGCTGAAAGAAGATCCCCAGAGGAAAGTGGGGCTCTTTTCTGGTTCCATGTCAGTTTTTTCTTCTTTCTTTTTCTCGGAGAGCAGTTCCCTATGTTTCCCCTTTTTGGTGGTTTTAAACAGCGCATATTTGGCGCATGTTCTTTGAGCGTCCCTTGCCCAGGGGTGAGGTGTGAGGAGAAATATAGGGAACCAGAGATTCCTCTAAAGACGGAGATTTGTAGGGTTCCATGTGTGGGTGTTTCTCAATATAGGGGACCCCTTTTTGGATGGTTTCTTAACCACCGGGAGGGCTTCCTAGCTTTGAGAAACACCCATGTGTGTTTTTTGTTGGTGAACTTCCGTTTGCTTAATAATATGTTATATTTTCTGAATGGAATCTGTGTTGATGGTTTGTCCAGGAATGTACCTGGTTGGCTTCTTAGTTGGTAAATGTTGGATGTTTTTTAGGAATATGCTGATGTTTTTGTTTTTTCCACGGAGCGGAGCAGCAAAATGGAAGTATATGTATGGCACCCAACCTTAATATAGGTACCCAACACATATGAGTACCCGACAATATTATTGAATGACTGCGGTTGTATTCGGCGCGACATCACTTAGCTCATAATCTCTAAAACCTATCAAAACCATGAAAAACCGATGGGGGCCTACCCAAGACCGATGCCAGGTAATAAGAGCAAAGACTTGCAATGCTACATTGTTCGTCGCAGAAGCCGTTTGGCTTTTGTAATCTGGTTGAAATCATGGCAGAGTGGACCGTGGAAGAGCGCCTCAAGCTGGGGCTGGTAAATTTCGGTCGGAGCCTGTGAGAGATGATAGACAGATCCGGCAGACAGAAGCGACAGCTGTGATAGAGCTTTTTGCACAGATGTCTGTGACAGACAGATGTGACAAGTAGCTCTGACAGAGCCCTTCGCAGACAGCGCGCAGACTCGCGCAACAGCGCGCGTCTCGCGCGGGAGTTTGTCGGAGGTTTGATTGCTATAGTTGCCAGGTCTGTGACAACAGGTTCGTAGAAAGAGATTGTGCACGGATTGCTCGTAACTTGCGCGGCACTCTGTGGCCGTTCAGCACCGTCAGGGAGTAATGTAAAATACAAGCAGAGAGACACCACTTAGACAAGACAAGTTCCGGAAACCAAGCACCCTCGACCGATGCCCGCAACCGATGCCCTCCAGATGTGTGACCGATGCCTCTAGGAGCGTCGCGTGGCCGATGCTGCAGCAAAAGATTAGTGCTCATGAGCAGGAGGTTAAGCGCCTCCTGAAAGAAATGTCAGCGGCGTATTCTTGTGCCAGGGCTTGCCTCTACCAAAAAGCTAGTTCCCCACCTTCAAAGTGTAAGCAGTTGCACACGTGTGGCTTGCAGATGTGCTGTTGCCACGAGCATGTGTTCCGAAAGGTGCTCAGCGGCCTTTGGCCTCACGCGGTTTTACGGAGCTAGCTGCTGGGCCACGAAATCTAAACACTTGCAGCGTGTGCTGGAAGCGAGGCCTCCCAGCAGCCTCCAAAAGCAGATCATGGTTGGAGTTCACTGGGCTCCCAGACAAGCAGGCATGAAGTCCCCAAAACCCGTACACAGGTGCGTACAAGAAAACTGTGGGTCCTTGAGCACAGCTGCGGTTTGCCGGTTTGGCTTTAGCTTCAAATTGCAGGAGCAGTTTTGTGCTTTCAGTGTTTTCGGCTAACAGACGTCTACTTCGAACTCTTACGTTACAAAAAGGTAGTGAAAACCCTGAAAACCGATGGGGGCCTACCCAATTTTGCGATGACGTATTCGGGGAGTATGTATTATTGTCCGACACTTATGTATACACATACGGCTATGGATCAAAATTAAAACATCAGAAAAACCGCGGGTCTTAGTCCTTGGTTCCATTTACCAGGGCAAGCCATTTTGAGTACGGGTTTTTGACAACCACGGCCATATATAGGTACCCAAAATATAGGCGCCCAATATTGCCGCACGGATCGATCCATTTCTTCTCGAGGTGCTGCCGGAAGAGCTGGAAGAGGGCAGGGCGCTGGAGACCGAGCACCCCGCGCCCACCATCCTCACGGAGCGGTGAACAATCGGTTGGCAAACATTGGGGGCGATCGATTGGGGAGGTCCTTCCATGTGCTGAAGTGAGGATTGTTCCCCCTTCCCGTTCATGCCCAACAACACCGGAAGGTCATTCCCTACCTCCTGAGTTTCTGGAAGTCAAGCTTTTTGGGAAGACCATTCTGGTAGCAAATAACAAGTTCAAACTACCTTTGAACAGCCACTTCCTAATCAGATTGGCAAAAAACAGGAGCTGATTTTGGCCAATCTACTTAGGAGGTCTCCCTTGTAATAGGGATTCTGGATTAGGATGGGCCAACGCTCCATTTTGAACAGTCCAGCACTTTTCAAACCCCTTGAAAGAATCGAGGGACGCCGTTTCTCTTGCTGTGTGAATGTTACTTCTGTTGTTTTTGCTTTTCTTGGTTGTCTGTTTTTTTTTTTTCTTCTGCTTGGTTTGCTGCTTGAACCCTTGTTCGTCGTCGTCAGTGGCTGGGCACTGCTCCAGATGCGCTTCAGAAGATCAGAGCGGAAGGTGGCCTTGCCCCAATCCAAGGATGCGTGAGCCTGTTTTCTGTTGAAGACCAACGACTCCCCCCATTTAAACCGTCCCTGTAGGGCAACCAAAATGGTGGGCCTTGGAACCTTCACATCCTGGGTCTCTTGGCTGCCACACATGGCGAGGACAGCAAGGACAGCGCGGCCTTGCGGGCGGTGGCCGATGCGAAGAGTGGGGACAACCCCTACCTGGCCATGGCCAAGAAAAACCCCAAGAAGCAGGCGATGGCAAAATGCAGCTCTCAAATTCCCATATGGGTGTGGCTCAAAATTAAACAGGAGGGGCAAACCGCAGGTTTTGGCCCATGCTTCCACTTATCAGGGCAACCCATTTTGGAAAATTCCCCGGTTTTTCGAGGCACGGCCATATTCTTTTCGAAGGGTCACGCCAGATTTGGACCTTTGGGGGGGCCAAAAAGGGAGTTCCCTTTCGTGAGGCTAGGTTCTTAGGGAGCCCCTCAAGAGGGGGATCTACAAGGAAAGCCCTGCGATGGTTTCCAAGGAGCAAAGGTCGAAAAAAAAAAAAAAAAGGTTCACAATGCCAACCGACCCCCGAATTGAAGGGGAGACTGTGCGCAGCTTCAGCTCTGGATTGGGGGGTTCAAGCATTCCTATGGGATCCCCTTCAAAAAATAGGGGGCGCCCGAAAATCCTTCTGGCTGGCACGTGGTATAGGGTGGGAACGTCTTGAGTCGCCTTGCCTTGACCCGAAAAGAAGGCACAAGCAAGTCCCACCAGAAAGCGGATCCTTCACGCAAGACTCCCCTTGACACAGCATGGTTTCAGGGCGCCCCCTGTTTTTCTTGCCGGTGCTCAGTAGGGAATAACCTTCCTTCCGGGTGTTGGGAATGAACCTAGGGATTCCCTTAAAGGAAGCCATTGCTGGGGATTCCCTCAGTCTCTGAGAACCAGCAAGTGTTTTTGAAGAGATCCCATCGGTTGCATTCGTTGTCGCTTTTGTCCGAATTTGCGGTGAGGCGTCTCGCAAGGGCAGCAGCTGGGAGGTGAACGACACCCCGCGGGAAGGAGACGATGAGGATACCTGGAGCGAGGCGTCCACACCAGAGAACTCCGACGGCGAGAGCAGCAGCCCGGCTTTCTGGGGCAGATGGGTGTGTCGCATTCTTTTGCTGCCGATGTTCCCAGGTGTTTGGCCCGTTTTATGAACAGTATGTATATATGCATACATATATACATGTTTCTATGTAATATATAGATATGTGTGCGTGTGTTTTCCGACATTATGCAGGTTCGATCCTTCATTATCTTCCTCGTTCTCTTGAGAAGTCACCCATTTTGCAGGGTGTTTGGGCCATGTCAAGAGAAGACCCCCCAAGATTGTGGTTTGCCTTTTCGGTTTTCCCTGAAGCCACGATGAGAAGGGTACCCTCCAAAAACACGCCTGTGTGGTTTCTTGTACTTGGAGTTGGTAGTAGGCATGGTCACCACTGCAACATTTCTTGTACAAGAAGGCATGGCACAAGTACTGAGTCTCCTGGTCAATTGAGTGAGTTCCCCCATGTTCATCCCAAGAAGGGCTATAGACCACTGGTGCTGTCTAATAGTGCTTTTGCACAACCAATACGTCAGTTAATGCGGAGAAGCCTCCGGCCAACTGTCATGGTATCAAGGGGAGTGATTTTGGATTGGTGCGGATTTTTTGTAGGGGACACTTTGGTGAACATCTAGGTCCCCCAGTAGTGCCCTTTTACCGTTTCTTTTTTGGGGGAGGGTTCCCCTACTAAAATAGACTACAGGAAAAAACATAAACTACTCTCCTCTCTCTACTGGAGGACCTAGACATCATTCATGGGGATTCATGTGGTGGTCTTCATTGAACTTCGCCACAGGCGCCAGCGGCAGCTCGGAGGAGCCCATGGTGTCGCCCCGCACGGCACTGGCGGCCAATGCGCTGCAGCAGCACGCGCAGCAGCTTCTCGGATGGCACAGCAAAAAAAGTTGGGAACATGGTTGTTGTTGGGAAGCATTTTGTGGTTGAAATCCCCACTCAACTGCTAAAATTTAAGATGTTTGCTCCCCTTCCAACGTCAACCAAGGGAAGGGCCAAGTGGTTGAATTGCAGTGGTTGAGTGGGGGTATGCTGCAAAACTTGGGTTGGCTCTACGTTTACTCCCATTACTTCCATTACTTCCATTTGCTGAAATGAATATGCTCTTTTGATGTTCCCTTGATGGTTTTAAAGGGAATCGATTTCACTGGTTGGTTCATGGGGTACAACCTGGTGACAGATGGGCTTTGTATCATACCTGGTTACCTACAAAAGGTTAGACCATGTTAGACCTTTTTGCTCAGGGAACCCAACGGAAGGATTCGATTCCCCAACGCAACTACCAACAAACGTTATGGTTTCAACCACGGTTCCATTTCGTGGTGCGAAATGGATGACTCGGTTCCCATCCGCATAGGAACTCTCCCTCTGGCAGTTCTTGTTGCCAGGTGTATTATGAGCAATGCGTAGTAATGAACACATGACTTACTATAGTCTTTGGAGCAGTCCCGCGTCCGGAAAAAAAAGAAAGAGGACAAAAAAAAAAAAGGCAAAAACCGGGGGGAAGAATCAAGTTGTGCCAGTACAAACCCCTAAACCCACCCCCCCCATTTGGGGGGTGGACCACCCTAGGAATGGCAGTTGGGGTCCGCTGAGTCCAAATTGTGCCCGAGGTTCTCGCCGGACCTGGTAGCCGCCAAGGCCTTAAGCGCGCACGCCGCGGGGAAGAAGCGGCAGGCCCTGGGGATTTGGGGGGGATTTGCGGGAGGGAGGGGTTGGGCGGACAACGTGCGATGCAAGAAGGCGGCGTGTCTGAAGTGGTAGTTTTGAGGGTGAGAGAACACCCAAGCGCGGCAAATACTTGAGATGACCTGTCCAGCTGCACGCCCCTGCTGGGCAGACGGTTTGGGGTATTGCCAAGCTTGACACCCTGGCGCTGACAGTTCTGGATTGCGCAGGAACGTCAGCGGCAACGTCCCCCATTTTGAGACAAGCCCCGCACCCTCGTCTGAGTACTCAAGCGACAAGCTTTTGGCATCAGGAGAGCGACGACAGCGCGGCTTCGGGCGCGCTTCAGGCCAGCAGTTCGGGGAAGGGAAAGATCCGTTGACCTCGGGAAGAGCTAAGATATATATGTGAATTACATTTTACTGGTGACTGAAAGTGAAACAAGTAACACAACTACGTATATCTTGCAACAAGGCCTGGCAGCAAAAAGCTGTTTGGCGCATGTTCGGCTTCGACTACCTTCGGCGGACGATGCTATTAAATTATTCTGATCATCTTCCTTCATTTCTTGTTTGATCTTGTATTTGTTTTGTTCAGACAGAAGGGACAATGCACGCTTAGACTTGGTGAATCATATGACAATCCGCAGGCAAGCCTTTGACAAAACACTCAAAGAGTAGTCTCATTTCTTCAGTTGAGTGCATGGTGCTTGCGACCAAGCTGGTCCGCGCTGAGTATTTCTGAAAGGTTGGCTGGCCGAACTATGCCCTGGTGATCCTTCCACTTCGTTTCAAGTCATGATAGTCATGGAACCTGACGTGTGCTTCACATGAAGTCAGTTTTTGCTAAACGGAAACGGCATTTGGCCTTTCCATTTGGCCTTTCTACGTCGTTTTCCTCAAAGGAAGCTCCGCCGGTTGCATCAGTGATTCAGGCAACAGTTGCTGCCTAATGTTGAGTCGTTAAGTCTTGACAACACAATTAGCAGTGCAGGTAGCGGTGCAACCATTTTAGCGCTGCGCAATCGACTTTAAGATTTGGTTTGTTTGTCTAGTTTCTGAATTTTGCAGGACTTTGGGATCCGTAGAATCACGTTAGAAAGCTTCGACATTCTGCTGACTTTCATGTTCCAATTGAATCTTCTGTCCATCAGTCACCGAATCTGAAGCGCAAACATCTATAGCTGGGTACTAGAGATATACGTGCACGAAGGCAATGCAATGCAGCTTTCTGGCGTATTGTATCAACACACACACACATTGACCCATGGGTTTAGCAACCTCGCCCTCGGTTTAGGTCGTTGACGTATTTCAGTTCCAGACATTCGACTGTGCTACAGGCACACGCTGGGCTCTTTGCCGAGCGGGGTGGCTCAAAGTCTTCAAAGGCTCGGGAGGCACGGCAGTTGACGGGAAGGGGTTGGGCGGGCAGCGTGCGGCGAGAAGGCGGCGCGTCAGAGAACATCCAGGCATACCAAATACAAGAAACGACGTGTCCAGCTGCATGCCCTTGGTAGGTAGACGTTTTTTTGGGTATTGCCAAGCTTGCAACCCCCACGCTGTTTTGGACTGCGCAGGAACGTCAGCCAACGCATCTTCGTTTGGAGTGCTCAAGCGACAAGCTTTTGGCATCAGGAGAGCGACGACGGCACGGCTTCGGGCGCGCTTCAGGCCAGCATTTCAAAGGGAAACGTCCTTTGATCGGGAGAAGAGCTAAGATGCACGTTACATCTTTCTGGTGAATGGAAGTGCAACAAGCAACAAAACACACACACACACACAAAAAAAAACAAAAACACGACAAGGCCCGTGTTCGGCTGCCACTACTTACCTTCGGCTGACGATGAGACTGGTTTCTTCTGCATGTGTTCCTTCATTTCTTGTGTGACCTTGCGAGACCTGGCGCATCGTATGACAATGCGCAGGCAAGCCTTTGACAAAACACTCAAAGAGTAAAGAGTAGTCTCATTTCTCAGTTGAGTGCATGGTGCTTGCGACCAAGCTGGTCCGCGCTGAGTATTTCTGAAAGGTTGGCTGGCCGAACTATGCCCTGGTGATCCTTCCACTTCGTTTCAAGTCATGATAGTCATGGAACCTGACGTGTGCTTCACATGAAGTCAGTTTTTGCTAAACGGAAGCGGCATTTGGCCTTTCCATTTGGCCTTTCTACGTCGTTTTCCTCAAAGGAAGCTCCGCCGGTTGCATCAGTGATTCAGGCAACAGTTGCTGCCTAATGTTGAGTCGTTAAGTCTTGACAACACAATTAGCAGTGCAGGTAGCGGTGCAACCATTTTAGCGCTGCGCAATCGACTTTAAGATTTGGTTTGTTTGTCTAGTTTCTGAATTTTGCAGGACTTTGGGATCCGTAGAATCACGTTAGAAAGCTTCGACATTCTGCTGACTTTCATGTTCCAATTGAATCTTCTATCCATCAGTCACCGAATCTGAAGCGCAAACATCTATAGCTGGGTACTAGACATATACGTGCACGAAGGCAATGCAATGCAGCTTTCTGGCGTATTGTATCAACACACACACACACACATTGACCCATGGGTTTAGCAACCTCGCCCTCGGTTTAGGTCGTTGACGTATTTCAGTTCCAGACATTCGACTGTGCTACAGGCACACGCTGGGCTCTTTGCCGAGCGGGGTGGCTCAAAGTCTTCAAAGGCTCGGGAGGCACGGCAGTTGACGGGAAGGGGTTGGGCGGGCAGCGTGCGGCGAGAAGGCGGCGCGTCAGAGAACATCCAGGCATACCAAATACAAGAAACGACGTGTCCAGCTGCATGCCCTTGGTAGGTAGACGTTTTTTTGGGTATTGCCAAGCTTGCAACCCCCACGCTGTTTTGGACTGCGCAGGAACGTCAGCCAACGCATCTTCGTTTGGAGTGCTCAAGCGACAAGCTTTTGGCATCAGGAGAGCGACGACGGCACGGCTTCGGGCGCGCTTCAGGCCAGCATTTCAAAGGGAAACGTCCTTTGATCGGGAGAAGAGCTAAGATGCACGTTACATCTTTCTGGTGAATGGAAGTGCAACAAGCAACAAAACACGCACACACACACACAAAAAAACAAAAACACGACAAGGCCCGTGTTCGGCTGCCGCTACTTACCTTTGGCTGACGATGAGACTGGTTTCTTCTGCATGTGTTCCTTCATTTCTTGTGTGACCTTGCGAGACCTGGCGCATCGTATGACAATGCGCAGGCAAGCCTTTGACAAAACACTCAAAGAGTAAAGAGTAGTCTCATTTCTCAGCTGAGTGCATGGTGCTTGCGACCAAGCTGGTCCGCGCTGAGTATTTCTGAAAGGTTGGCTGGCCGAACTATGCCCTGGTGATCCTTCCATTTTGTTTCAAGTCATGATAGTCATGGAACCTGACGTGTGCTTCACATGAAGTCAGTTTTTGCTAAACAGAAACGGCATTTGGCCTTTCCATTTGGCCTTTCTACGTCGTTCTCCTCAAAGGAAGCTCCGCCAGTTGCATCAGTGATTCAGGCAACAGTTGCTGCCTAATTTTGAGTCGTTAAGTCTTGACAACACAATTAGCAGTGCAGGTAGCGGTGCAACCATTTTAGTGCGACTTGTGTGCGTGTGTGTGTGCGTGTGTGTGCGTGTGTGCGCGCGTGTGTGCGTGTGTGCGTCTGTGCGTCTGTGCGTTTGTGCGTCTGTGCGTCTGTGCGTCTGTGCGTCTGTGCGTCTGTGCGTCTGTGCGTCTGTGCGGCTGTGCGGCTGTGCGGCTGTGCGGCTGTGCGTCTGTGCGTCTGTGCGTCTGTGCGTCTGTGCGTCTGTGCGTCTGTGCATCTGTGCGTCTGTGCGTCTGTGCGTCTGTGCGTCTGTGCGTCTGTGCGTCTGTGCGTCTGTGCGTCTCTGTGTCTCTGTGTCTCTGTGTCTCTGTGTCTCTGTGTCTCTGTGTCTCTGTGTCTCTGTGTCTCTGTGTCTCTGCTGTGTCTCTGTGTCTCTGCTGTGTCTCTGTGTCTCTGTGTCTCTGTGTCTCTGTGTCTCTGTGTCTCTGTGTCTCTGTGTCTCTGTGTCTCTGTGTCTCTGTGTCTCTGTGTCTCTGTGTCTCTGTGTCTCTGGGTCTCTGGGTCTCTGTGTCTCTGTGTCTCTCTCTGTGTGTCTCTCTCTGTGTGTCTCTCTCTGTGTGTCTCTGTGTGTGTGTCTGTGTGTGTCTGTGTGTCTGTGTGTGTCTGTGTGTGTCTGTGTGTGTCTGTGTGTGTCTGTGTGTGTTTGTGTGTGTCTGTGTGTGTCTGTGTGTGTCTGTGTGTGTCTGTGTGTGTCTGTGTGTGTGGGTGCGTGCGTGCGTGCGTGCGTGCGTGCGTGCGTGCGTGCGTGCGTGCGTGCGTGCGTGCGTGCTGCGTGCGTGCGTGCGTGCGTGCGTGCGTGCGTGCGTGCGTGCGTGCGTCGCGTGCGCTCCCACCCGACAGGAAGGGTTGTTAGATTTTAGGGTTGTTAGATTTTGTGTTGGAATCTGCGTTGCGATGCTTCTACACCATGCCCCCACCCAGTATCCCGCCAGAGCAGCTCGCCAGTGGATCCCGCCTAGTATCCCGCCAGTATCCCGCCAGAGCAGCTCGCCAGTGGATCCCGCCCAGTATCCCGCCAGAGCAGCTCGCCAGTGGATCCCGCCGGGTATCCCGCCAGAGCTGCTCGCCAGTGGATCCCGCCCGGTATCCCGCCAGAGCTGCTCGCCAGTGGATCCCGCCGAGTATCCCGCCAGAGTTGCTCGCCAGTGGATCCCGCCCGGTATCCCGCCAGAGCTGCTCGCCAGTGGATCCCGTTGAGTATCCCGTCAGAGTGGCTCGCCAGTGCATCCCGCCAAGTATCCCGCCAGAGTGGAGAGCCGCCAGTGGATCCCGCCGAGTATCCCACCAGCGCTGAGTATCCCAGAGTAGCTCGCCAGTGGATCCCGCCGATTCCGCCAGCCAGAGGATCCCGCCGAGTATCCCACCAGAGCAGCTGGCCAGTGGATCCCGACGAGTATCCCGCTCAGTATCCCAGACAAGCTCGCCAGTGGATCCCGCCGAGTATCCCGCCAGAGTAGCTTAGCAGCCCGGCAGTGGATCCCGCCAAATATCCCGCTGATCCCGCTGAGTATCCCTTGCCGGTGGATCCCGCCGAGTATCCGGCCAGTATCGAGCCGGAGCGGCTTGGCAGTATTCGCCAGTGGATCCCGCCAGCATCCCGCAGAGCAGCTCGCCGATGGGAATTTCGAAGCGAAGTCTTTTTCCCGTTTTGTTTGGCTAGTTTCTCGGTTGTGCAGGGCTTTGGGATCCGTTGAATCACGGTAGAAAGCATCGACATTCTGCTGACTTTCATGTTCCGATTGATCTTCAGTCACCGAAACTGACGTACAAAGATCCATGCCTGGGTACTAGAAAGTACGTTCACGCAGGCCATGCAATGCTTGCTTCTTCGCCAAATTGTATCAACACACACACACACATTGACCCATCAACGGGTTTAGCAACCACGCCCTCAGTTTAGGTCGTTGACGTATTTCAGTTCCAGACATTCGCCTGTGCGGATGCAGGCACACGCTGGGCTCTTTGCCGAGCGGGGTGGCTCAAAGTCCTCCAAGGCACGGGAGGCACGGCCCTTGGGGAAGGGTTGGGCGGACAGCGTCCCCTTGGGGGAAGGGTTGGGCGGACAGCGTGCGGCAAGAAGGCGGCATGTCTTTGCATGGTGTTGAGGTCAGAGCACACCCAAGCGCGGCAAATACTTAAGCTGACCTGTCCAGCTGCATGCCCCTGCTAGGTAGACGGTTTGGGGTATTGCCAACCAACGATCCTCCATCTTGAGACAAGCCCCTGCACACCCTCGTTTGAGTACTCAACCGACAAGCTTTAATTTTGGAGTCGCCAGGAGAGCGACGACGGCACGGCTTCGGGCGCGCTTCAGGCCAGCAGTTCGGCGAAGGGAACATCCTTTGATCTGGGGAAGAGCTAAGTTTCGTGTTACATTTTTCTGGTGACTGCAAGTGCAACAAGTAGCAATGCGCATATTCTTGACAAGGTCTGGCTCCAAAACGCTGTTTGGCGCATGTTCAGGTGACACTACCTTCGGCGGACGATGAGATTGATTCCTTCTGCATCTTCCTTCATTTCTTGCCGGACCATGTTTTTCCTTTGTTGAGGCAGTGGGAACGACGTAGGTTGAGACCTGGTGCATAGTATGACAATCCGCAGGCAAGCCTTTGACAAACACTCAAAGAGTACATTTCTGCATGGTTTTTGCAATTCCAATGCAGTTTGGATGCTACGTAGATATTTGGCAACCTGCTTGTGCAATTCCAAAGGGAGCATCCATTTTGTTGCATGTGCAAATGACTTCATGCGTGGTTGTTTTACTAGTTTCTACGGGGCTTGGGTGGGATCCGTAGAATCGCATGGTAGCACCAGAAAGCATTGCGCCTCCGCCTGCAAGTGGCGGCATCTTAGACTTGAACCCTGATTCCCATGGTCATAGATCGTACAGGAAGCCCCCCTCCCCCACCACTGTGGTCCGGTGGATTAGGGTTGGCTTAGGATTGGTTGGGGTTTTGGTCGGGTTGTGTTTGCAGGGTTGGCTTAGGAATGATTTAGAATGGGTTTAGGGCTGGTTACGTGGGTTAGACGGCTGGTTTTGAGTTAGGCTTGATTCAGCTTGGACGTGGGTTTAGGGTTCCTTCTCAAGTTGGGATGTGGTTTGGGCAGGCTTGGATTGCTCGGGTTGCTGAGGGCGGCCATCCAGGGCCGCGGGGTCCCAGGAGGGGGGTTCATGGTCTCGGGGGACCATGCCACGTGTGTGTGTGTGTGTGTGTGTGTGGGAACACGGGACACGGTACTATATTACATATTATATATATATATGTACTATATATATATATATATATATGTTATATGTATGTATAATCATGCGGGCAATGCAGCAGGTGTTTCTGACGGCAAATTTCATTGACCTCACCTTGGGTTTGTGACCTCACCTTGGGTTTGTGACCTCACCCAAAGGAATTCCTTTGCGGATGCTCCGCCAGGCACACGCCCGGCTTTTTGCCGGGGGCCCAAAGTCTTCGGCGCGGGGAGGGCTCGGGATGTGTGCTGCTTGGTCCTACCTGGCGACCAAAAAGTGAGCACAGATTGATCTGGGTGTGGGTTTCAAATTTTAAGCCACCAAATCGGACCGCAGAAAGTTTGTGTCCATGTTTCAATTTACCAGGGTTCCCCTATTATGGGAACCTATTTTTGACCAACACCCATTCGTACAAACATATTGCGTGTGAATGGTGTGTGAAAGCTCATCCCTCTATCCCTCTATCCCTCTAGTTGGCGCTTGGTACGTGTTTTATGGGCATGGACACCGGGCGGGGGGACAGCACTACAAACAGATAGAAGTAAAATGGCAAAATCAATGAAGAACTCGCATGCTCACTCATCGGCAAAAAGCTTTAGACAGACACGATCGCTCGCCGAATGACCAAAGGCTGCACGAAACAATGCAATCAGTTGCTTCAGTGATTTGTTCAGATTGCGAGATCATATAGACCGCATGGGTTCATCCACATCCAGCAACATCAACCCGACTTTCTTTTTCCAGCAGTTATCTAGTCAATCTGCATTCTGGAAAGTGGGTTGGTCCGAAGTGACGAGCCGAATCTCTTGTTTTGGACGATGTGACTTTCATCTCCAGATCTTGTGATCAATTGCCCTTTAGTCCTTGCTGGTGCTCAGCAGGGAATGAGGGAATGACCCCTATAAACCATTTCTTGTGGTTTCCTTTGAGGAAATCCCTGGTTCATTCCCACATTCCCTACCTATCGCACCAGCAAGAGTCGTTCTTTGTTGCTAGCGTGTAGTGTTGGTTCGGAGGGCGGGCCTCCCGAAAGGGTGAAGGCATTCTCTTACCTCCAGACGTTGAGCAAAAAGACATGGGAAATTGGTGGGGCAGGTTTCTTTGTCATCTCAGCCTAAGCTCTGGGGCGTTGCTTCTGATTCTTGATGGTCAAATCCACTTCTTGTTTGCCGTGCTGCCCCCATGCCCGAAGAAAAAAAAACTGGCCATGGCCATGGGCTTTTCAAAACCCAAATCGTAGCTTCAGTGAACATCCGATTCAATCCAACCACTAAAATGGACTAAAATGGGTGGTGAATTCACCTACCAACCAAAATGGGATCCCATTGGTTTTGACCCACGGCCATATCGATTCCCACTGACAAAAACACAAGGATTTCGGTACCTTCGCGCTTTCGCCAGGAGGGCGAAGAGCGCGAGAGCGAGGCGCACTCCCTTTTCGGCGGGGAGTCTTGAGGGAACGCTCCAATAAAGTCAATGCACAAAACTCGGGCATTGCCAGCCATCTGGTTCCTTGAGTCTTAGTTGTTTTTGTGGGTTTAGTGGCAGTTTCCACACCACTAATTAAAAGTTCAGCTTTTAGCAGGGGAGATGGAACCGCCCAGACAATCATGCAGAGCGGGTTCAGCGAGCATCGCCCATCAAACGTCCTTGCATCTTAGAGACCAGCGACCGGAACTTCGACCGGGTGCAGATTCCTGGCTTCTGCGAACTCTCACTGGTTCTTTCCAGGTAGAAATGTCATAGTCGTTTAGTTGTTGCAGGTCATAGGTGGCCAACTTCTCAAAATTCACGGAATGCACCGCATGGCGTGGGCGCGTTCTGCGCGGTTTGCGGTATTAGGCCACCAGGAGAAAATCCGCAGCCGCCAGCGGCGGTTTGCAACGAAGTCGCGTAGACCGGAACTGCATCGACCAACACGAAGCCAGGAGCATCACCCGACAAGGAGCATTTGGCAGACTGGGAGCCTTGCAACCTGAGCACGTTGACCGCGGATGAATAAACCCCTGGTTGGTCAATAGGGGGTGTCGGAAGTACACCAATCTACGAAGCTCACCGGGAGGGATTTCCATCCGCAGATGAGGA